GGTCATCCAACCAAATGTGGAAATTATTGAACAATATCATTAATATCACATGCAAGTAAAATTTTGCTGAAGATCATTCAAAAGCAGCTGCAACAGTATATCGACAGGGAACTGCCAGAAATTCAGGCCGGATTCAGAAGAGGATGTGGAACCAGGGATATCATTGCTGATGTCAGATGGATCCTGGCTGAAGGCAGAGAATACCAAAAAGATGTTTACCTGTGTTTTTTGACTATGCAAAGGCATTCAACTGTGTGGATCATAACAAATTAAGGATAACATTACAAAGAATGGGAATTCCAGAACACTTAATTGTGCTCATGAGGACCTGTACATAGATCAAGAGGCAGTCATTCAAACAGAACAAGGAGATACTGCGTAGTTTAAAGTCATAAAAGGTGTGCGTCAGGGTTGTAGCCTTTCACCATACTTATTCAATCTGTATGCTGAGCAAATAATCTGAGAAGCTGAACTATATGAAGAAGAACGGGGCATCAGGATTGGAGAAAGACTTATTAACAACCTGTGTTAAGCAGATGACACAACCTTGCTTGCTGAAAGTGAAGAGGACTTGAAGCACTTACTGATGAAGATCAAAGACCACAGGCTTCAGTATGGATTACACCTCAACATAAGGAAAACAAAAGTCCTCAAAACTGGACCAATAAGCAACATCATGATAAACAGAGAAAAAATTGAAATTGTCAAGGATTTCATTTTATTTGGATCTACACAATCAACACCTATGGAAGCAGCAATCAAGAAATCAAAAGACGCATTGCATTGGGCAAATCTGCTGCAAAAGACCTCTTTAAAGTTTTGAAGAGCAAAGACGTCACCTTGAAGACTAACGTGCGCCTGACCCAAGCCATGGTATTTACAATCGCATCATATGCATATGAAGAAAAATTGATGCCTTTAAATTGTGGTGTTGGCAAAGAATATTGAATATACCATGGACTGCCAAAAGAACGAATCAATCTGTCTTGGAAGAAGTGCAGCCAGAATGCTCCTTAGAAGCACGGATGGCGGGACTATGTCTTACATACTTTGGACATGTTATCAGGAGGGATCAGTCCCTGGAGAAGGACATCATGCTTGGTAAAGTAGAGGGTCAGCGAAGAGGAAGACCTTCAACGAGATGGATTGACACAGTGGCTGCAACAATGGGCTCAAGCATAACAACAATTGTGCGCCTGGCGCAGGACCAGACAGTGCTTAATTCTGTAGTACACAGGGTCGCTGTGAGTCGGAACTGACTCGACAGCACCTAACAACAACAGGGTGGGGCCCAAGAATTTGCATTTCTAACAGGTGTCCAGGTTATACTGATGTTAGTTTGGGGACCAAATTTCAGAACCTCTGTGGGATAGATTTGACTCATTTTGCCCGAGACTGTTGTAGCTTTGAGAAGGTCTCTCATCTGTTCTCGGATGGGCTTGCATTTTCGCAGGTGCGTCTCCTTGAGTGTTTGTATTAGGTTCTTTAGCCACATATTAATGCCTCTAGAAAGTACTGCAGGGAAGCAGGGAAAGTGTGATTGTCACATAGCAGTGTTGGGTGTCAAAGCTGGATGAATACCTGTGGTGGGACAGATGGCTTTTGTGTGGCCTTTCCATGGTCTTTGTAACTCCCACCCAAGTGATGGGTGGGACTGTGCAGATAAGGTAATTGTGACCCTCCAAGGGAACTGGTCAATTTTCCCATTCCACTAGGCTTAAAAAGAGAGCCAATTCCAGAGCAAAGAGAGGATCCTACCACCACCCAGGAAGAACAGCCAGGAGTGGAAAGCATGTCCTTTCGACCCAGATCCCTGCTCTGAGAAGCTTCTGGAACCAGGAGGCACAGAGAGCTCAAGAAGCGGTTGCAGAGAATGATGGCAGGAGATGGTGTGGTGCTAGAAAGCTGAGTGCGTTTGGGCAGGAGGCTTGCTGGCAGAGTGGAGTACCTCTGGGCACTTACTGGTAGAGCTAAAAGAGCTTTATAACAGTTGGCCGAGGAGGGCAGAGGCTGAGGGCCACGGACATGTGCCTGTGAGCATGGCCGGGAAGAGGCTGTCCTGATGGAAGAACTGTATCCTGAGTGTTCCTGAACCTGAATTGTAACCTGTTACTTCCCTAACAAACCCCATAATCTTGAGTATTTTCTGTGAATTGTGTGTGGCCATTGCAATGAATTATGGAACCCAGGAGAGACGTAGAAAGCGCCGTGGGAGGGACAGTTCGTGTCAGAATTAGTAAAGGTGGCAGACAGCAGGCATATCTGACCTCCCCCTCATAGGAATCACCCTTGGGCTGTTGGTCTTTATTCTCCTTCACCCTTGTGAAGTTAGAAGAGGTCAGACAACACCCCATGCTGTTTTCACAATACCTATGTCAGGCTTGGTCTGCTTCTGCAGCAGTGGGAACCACTGACTGTTCTTAGCATGTCTAGATGGAAATCAAGGCAAAGGATGAGAAAGAACAAGCTGTAGATGAATGCATATGTTTTACAAGATTCTCAAAAAAAAAAAAAAAACTTTCTGAGTTTCAGTAAATAAGAGCGCTTTTACTCCGAGGGTCTGAGGTTCAATCTCCTATCTCCCCGCACAAAAGTTATTTCTACCACCAGGTAGAAAGCTATCAACTCTGCTTGCTCCTGGAGACACTTGTCCCTGCACTTGCAGCTGACTTTTCTGCTACTCACATACTGCTTTTGTCCCAAAGGGAGTCTGAAGAGCAGACTGTGAGAGAGAAAGTCAGAGTTGCCATACAATCCAAGAGCCCTTCATTCAACATTTCATTAATCATCAACCCTGTCCTCTGTTCTATTCCAGGGATAAGGGCATGTTGAGTGGCTCCCACAATCATCAGCGTCACAGTGCTTGAGGCTTTAACTAGCAGAGGTCTTAGGATGGAGTGGAAGGGGCTTATTTGAGACTGAAGAGGGAAGGTATCGACACACAGGTGGTTTTGAAGAGTGAGAAAGCTGGAGGGTGCACTCAGAAATGCACAGACATGGGTGAATTAACCAGTAAGTACCATATGAGCAAGGTACATATGGTCTTAGTTGTATTTACTTGCTAATCTGTGGTGAGCAATTTTACATGAGTTTCACCACATCTTTGACATGGTGGGTGGGGTCAGGTGAAATTGTCCACTGCAGGTTGGTGGGAAGGCACAATTGGGCCCGTGTGTACCTTGCTTATTGGGTAATCCAGCCGTGTGCCACATAGATTGACTGGTGTGGATGGTGATGCTTTCACGAAGTTAGTAAGTAGAGGAGGAAAAGCAGGATTTCTGCTTGTTTGTTTTTATTTGTGAGAAGTGGAGCAGGATCTAGAAGTGGATGAAAATAATTTCTGTTTTGGAAAAGAATTTAAGATCCTTATGGAATAGCCTCATGAAAATGATAAACATTAAGATCCATGGATCTAGAACCCCACAGAGAACTCTGATCTAGAGATTTTTATTTTTTATGTGTCTGTGGAAGAAAGTGCCCCAAAGAATGGATAGAGTGAGAACTGAAAAATGACCTTGGAATTTGGGGATGGGAACTCATTAATGAAATTTGTGAAAAACAAAGGAACTTGCTGTAGGCTCATCTTGTACCCTGGATTCTGTGTATTCTGGTTACCACTGGTTATCATTATGGCCATAAAACTTCCTTAGAAAACCCATTTCCTCCTAACAGATTCCTAATAAATGTTATTTTCCAGTTTCCCTCTGCCCTTACAGGGCTGTTTCCAGGTAAACATGAATCCCATGGAGTCCTCTTTGAACCTCAGAAGACTTCCAGTGGTCAGGAAGGACTTCTCAGACTCAGAAGCAAGCCCAGAGGAAGGATCCTTAGACTGGTAAACTAATACTGGGGAACAGAAAAGTAACAGGTATCACTAAGAAAGAGCACTAGGCAGGTGTTACAACCAAAGGTGTGTGAAGAGTGGGCAGGGTTGTGTAATGAACACTTATGTGATAGGATTCTCCTGAGGATTTAAACATTTAACTCGGGAGACAGAAAACACACATGCCCAATGTCTAAGTTTCTTAGTGCTGCTATAACAGAAATACCACAAGTGGGTGGCTTTAACAAACAGAAATTTATTTTCTCACAGTTTAGGAGGCTAGAAGTCCAAATTCAGGACACTGGCTCTAGTGGAAGGCTCTCTGTCCTCTCTAGGGGAAAATCCTTGTCTTGGCTTCTCTAGTGTTCTTCTCATTGTTTCTTGGAGGTTTCCATGTGGCATCTATCTTTTTCACATTCCTGCTTGGTTTCTTCTGTGCCTAAGCTGCTCTTTTTATATCTCAAAAGAAATTGGTTTAAAACACATCCTGCACTGATATGACCTCATTAACATACAAAGAAAACCTTATTCCCAAATGGAATTACATTCATAGGTATAAACCAAACCAAACCAGTTGCCGTCAAGTCAATTCCAGCTCATAGCAACGCTATAGGACAGAGTAGAACTGCCCAGTAGGGTTTCCAAGGAGCACCTGTGGATTCAAACTGCCGACCTGTTGGTTAGCAGCCAAACTCTTAACCACTATGCCACCAAGGTTCCCTTCATAGGAATAGGGGTTAGGATTTACACAACACATATTTTGGGGGGGTCACAACTCAATCTACAATACCCAATAGATTGAGAAACTCCAAAATATATGAAATGCATAATCTTACGTATCTGAGTCCTCAGGGAAGATGAAAGGCAATTGGGTGCTGGTGGTGCAGCAGTTAAAAGCTTGGCTGCTAACCTTTGCAGTTCAAATCTACCAGCCGCTCCTTAGAAATTGTTCTACTGTGTCCTATAGGGTTGCTATCAGTCAAAATCGACTCAGCGGTGACGGGTTTGGTTTTTTGTTTGGCGTTTAGATGAAGACTCAAAGCGGTGTGTTGGGAATGTGATTTGAAGGTAAATTGATTAATACCATGTTCTTAAGATTGCAAAGGCATTTTCATGCATGAACTTCTTTGACCTTTACAAAAAGCATTATACAAATTTACAGCTCACCTCACTTTACAGGTATAATGTGAGAGGTTCAATGATATCTATCAAATTGCTGTGTGTCACAAACCTAACAGTGGAGTGGAGATGAGGCATAAACCTGAATTATCTAATGGCAATCTTGAGTATTTTCTCTTAATATGCTACACACACACACATACACAGACGTATATACAAGAAATATATATATACATACATATACCCTAATTAGTGGATCATTCCTATGTCAGATCCTGTCTTAGATGGCAAGATGCAAAATTCAAAATAGGGACTCAACAAGTCTTGTATAACATATTAGTTACTACATTGTCAATTTATGTCAGTTTCTGTCATTTTTTCCAGTGAGAAGTCAGTGAGAAAAGTCACCTTTCTTCCTTCTTCTCTGCCCCATTTGCCACTGAGTCTGAATAATCTGTGAGCCCTGAGTAGTGTGACAGTAAAGCTTCATCCCTTTCCAGTCTAAACAAGCAGTCCATACGGCCATCCCACAGGGAATAATGTCCTACCTTTCTTCCATACAAAGAGGCCCTAAGTCTAAACATCTCTGTTGAGCTATAGGATGGCACAGGTGCTCCATTTTTTCTCCCTTTTGTAAATGCAAAGTCCTTAGGTGTGGGTGGCCAAGCAGTCCCATTAGTAAAAATATTGTGCAAAAATCTTCCCAGGGCACTGAAATTTTATAATGAAGTGTCTGGGTATGGGTCTTTTTTATTCATTTTGTTTGGTGGTTTTGAGGCACTCTTGTGCAGAGACTGGCTAGCTATTCACAAACTGGTTCATCTTTTTCCTGGGTACCAAGTAGACTACTACATTTCCCAGACTCCCTTGGAGTTGGATGTGGCCATGTGACTGAGTGCTCAATGGAATGTGAATAGAAGGGATCTGCATCTCTTCCAGGGCTGAATCAGAAACACCTTTTTTGGCTAGCCCTCCAAGTTCTTTCTCCACCTGTTGTCTTAATGCAGATAAGCAGGCAAACTTGGAAACCAGGCATTAGAGATGGTGAGCCACACATTAAGAGAAGCTGGGTCCCTAAACCATTGCTTGCAGGAATGCACCCATTGATCACATGTGATCACATAATGGCCAAATCTATGCTTTATGTGAATAAAAGATAAATTTCTTTTGTGCTTACGTCATTATGTATTTGACGTTTGTTGTTTTGGTTTTTTTTAATAGCAATTAGCACTACCTTAATTAACCTTTTAATCTGTAAATTCATGGCCCTCAATTCTAGGAAATTAAAAAAAAAAAATTCTTCGATAATTTTACTCAAAGGCAATAGGTGTGGCCCAATCATCTTAATATGGCCTCCAATTAAACTCCCACCTCACACTGTGTTGATTTACCTTCCATGCATGTGAGCAATAAGGAGAAATGATGTTTGAAATGCATGGACCCTGAAATCTTATAGCTCATATATGAAGAAACTTCAAGGTTCTCCCAAATTTAGCAACCATTCAAAAAATATGTTCAGTACTACCAACAATGAGTTGTGAGGCTGAAAGAAACTTCTCTGAAGTATTTTTTTTTAAAAAACCACTCAACCATGTTAGAAGAAAGCCTGAATTATCTACTTCTGTCTGTAGAAGGAAACCCTGGTGGCTTAGTTGTTAAGTGCTATGACTAATAACCATAAAGGTTGGTAGTTTGACTCTACCAGGTGCTCCTTAGAAACCCTATGCCCTATAGGGTTGCTGTGAGTTGGAATCTACTCTACGGCAATAGGCTTGGTTTTCTCTGTAGAAACTCATAGTGACCATATAGTGTATTTGGAATCAACTCAATGGCAATAGATTTTTTGGGGGGGTTTGCTCTATAGAAAATAATATTACACAATTGTTTTCACATGAAAGCTGATCAAAGCTAATGCAGTGGAGGCACATGAAAGACAGGAAAGACATGTGATAATGGAGTTAGGCTGCAGCAGCAAGCCAAGGAACACCTGGGGCTCCCAGAGCTGAGAGAGGAAAGAAAGGTTCTTCTTCTAAAGCCTTCAGAGAGAACATGGCTCTGTCAACATTCTGAGTTCCGACTACTAGCCTCCAGAACTGAGACAATAAACTTATATTGTTTAAAGCCCTCCCTCCAAAATACAGCCAAATAATGTAGGAAAAAAGTATTATAGAGGTGTATCAGTAATTTAAATTTTAAATTATGTTGTTTGTGGTGTTTGTAATATTTATCACCTTTTTAAGATTTGTCATTTGTTGTGATTTCCATTCTAAATAATTTTATATCTAATTTTGTAGTCATACTTTTGTATTTTTTGCCTTAAAGATAACCTAAATAGTGTACAGTGAAACCTGTGAGAGCCGGAACTGGACAGGACTGCTTTCCTTTTCTGCGTCTCGAAAGTTTTTCGCTTTTGACAAGGTGCAGTCCTACTACGTTTCTTATGCTTTCTATTAGTGGATAATATTTGCGTTTTCCTTCTCTGACAAGTTTCTGCCTTATAGTGGTTCCAGCTTTCACAAGATTTACTGTATAAGCTTTGTTGTTGTTGTTAGTTGCCGTCAATTCAATTCTGACTCATGGTGACCCCATATGTACAGAGTAGAACTGCTCCATAGGGTTTTCAAGGCCATGACCTTTTGGAGGCAGATCACCAGGCCTGTCTTTGAAGGGCCTCTTGGTGAGTTCAAACCCCAACCTTCTGGCTAGTAGCAGAGAGCTTAACTGTTTGCACCACCCAGGGACTCCACTTGTATAAGCTTTAGGTCCCATAAAACCTGGATCTGCCCCTGCCATTGAATTAAAAACAAAACAAAAAAACACCTATTTTTTGGTGGTGTACCCTATGTTTAAGCTCCTTCAACTGGATGAATTACTGAAAAACAAAAAAAGTAGCTTTTCTCATAGACCCAATACCCACTTTGCCACACAGGAAACAGCCCTTCCTTCACCACTGGAACTCTTTCTTTCCTCCTAGGTCTCCCTCTAAGGTGTTTTCTCTAGGGTTAGGAAAAAATACAAGAAATAGTTTATGTTTTGGATGGTATGCTTGAGCATACGGTTACCAACATTATTTTTTGAGATTGAGAATTTAAAATATATGAAGGAAAATATAGAGTCTTCTCTGTCTTTAAAATGTGTGAAGCCCACCCAAATTTCACCGTTTAGGCTTCCAGGGTCACATCGCCTTTATTCTTTCACTGTCTCTTTAGAGGCAGTGCTCTCCCATTCACACTCAGGTTTAGGAGTCTAGGCAGAAAAAGAGCTTACTAAACAGACTGCTGTCTAGGCTCAGAATAATTTTTCCCACGAATCAGAGGCAGGCACGACCGAGCAGCCTGTTTTACTGTGTAAGAATTGAGAATAAACAGGCAAGAAGATGAGTTCCAGTGAAGCCTCTTGGAGAGGGCTCCTGCCAGGGCAGCACAAATCTAGTGCTGAACATCTGATTCTCAATAGTTTAGAACTTGGCAAAGAAAAACTTGGGGAAGCTGGCAAGGAATTTTGTCGTTTTCCTTTACCTGATAGTCCTCCATCCCAGGACATTGTGTTTTTCTCATGTTTTGTATTTTTCAGATCTTTTAACCTATTACTTTTAGATTATTTTGCAAAGCCCAAAATATTGTGACCTTGAATCAAAACATCATGAATGATATGATATATATATATATTACAGCCTAGTAAACTCGTCTGCTGTGATGGCCGAGTGGTTAAGGCGTTGGACTTGAAATCCAATGGGGTTTTCCTGCGTAGGTTCGAATCCTACTCACAGCGGCTTTGGTTTTCTGGCTTAGGCTATTGTCAGCAATCATTATTAGCCGGCTGCCACTAATTGATGTGACTGGAGAGGAAACTCCTGCCCAGGTACTGGTCAAACTGTGACTCCCTTAGCAAATTAATCCCCTTAGACAACGACTTGACGGTTAATTTGAATTCAGGCATTCTCCGAATTTTGACTTTCTTGCTGAAGAAGAAAACTCCCAAAGCTAAGGTACTCCAAACTTGAAGTGATTTGTTCTCTTTGACAATTCCTTAACTACAATCCAGGGAGAAAAAAGTCTGAAATGACTTGTTTTTAGAGAACTTGGGCCGGGCCCAATTATCACCAACTACTCCAGTCAATAGTTTTTCGAGTGCCTCATCTGAGAAGACTTCAACATCTCACGCATTCGGGGTATAATACCAATTTCCAAAAATCTCGGAGAAGCTGGTGAAGGAAAACAGCATAGTGACCTAAAATGAGGGCAGGCTTTGGAATGACACTATGTACACTTCTTAGGTTATTCCAATACCATTTAAACTGTTGTGAGCATAGAAAAAGATCAGTGCCCCTATCCTTTATAAGTCGGAAGCCCTGGTGGTGTAGTGATTAAACGTTCGGTTGCTAACCAAGAGGTCGGCAGTTCGGTTTTGGTTTTTATACATTACAAGGTGCTAATATAACCTTGAGGAGACCTGGTTGCGCAGTGGTTAAAGCGCTAGGCTGCTAGCCTAAAGATCAGCAGTTTGAACTCACCAGGCGCTCCACGGGAGAAAGATGTAGCACTCTGCATCTGGTAAAGATCTACAGCCTTGGAAACCTTACAGGGGCAGTTCCACCCTGCCCTATAGGGACACCATGAATCGAACTGATGGCAGTGTGATTAGTATAACCTTAACTCCAAAATCTTCCAAAGCTGAATAAAAAGGGTACCAAAAACGGATCTCACTCACGCGTATTGTTGTTAAAACTATTAATGTAGTGTTGGCATGTTAAAATGAACATCTTGACATAAGCAAACAGGACTTTTCCAGGAACACAAGAAAGATTCATCATCAGAAAAAAATCTATTATAAAAGTGTATTAATAGCTTGGACCCTTGGTGGTGCAGTGGTTAAGCGCTTGGCTGCTAACCAACAGGTCAGCAGTTCGAACCCACTAGCCGCTCCTTGGAAACCCTACGAGGCAGTTCTGCTCTGTCCTACAGGGTCGCTATGAGTTGGAATCGACTTGATGGCAATGGGTTTGGTTTGGTTTTTTTATTAATAGCTTACAGGCTAAAACAAAATGATCTCAGTAGGTCAAAAGGGACTTAGAAAAAACCAAAATCCTACTCAGATTTCTTATTTATATACTAGTAGTATCTGTGAAATAACCCACATTTAACTGACTGGCTGCATACCACCACCCTCTTCCTTCCCTCTATAAAACATACTGCAGCACCTGAAATGCCCATGCTGTGCCTTCACACCCCAATTCCTGTTCCCACAAGTTTAGCTGTATGCCTACCATGAGTTTATCATGTTTTTTCAAATTCTTACAGAATGTAGACTTACTGGATGTATCGAAACTGGACGAATCCCTGAATTTATTGCTCTGAGAAAATCTTCAAACCATGAACCAAAATTATCCCCAGAAGTCATCTATTGTTTAGCTAAATTAGTAAAGAATGTTTGCCATGAACGTTGTGCTCTTTTAAAGAATTATCTCTATGAGACCAAATTGTCACCAGTAACTCCCAAAGTATAGATGAGAAATTTAGCGGGTAGTGAGTCTAAGGCAATGGTGGTGAAACTATATGGGTAGAGATAGCAAAAACGGTGACACAACGTGAACAATGTAACCAATGTCATGTATGTTCTGCTGTGTATATTTTCATCAAAATTAAAATAAAAATAATAATCCTTTGGCCAAAGAATCAATATACAGACAGAAAGAATCTTAATATCCTCTAGCAAACAAATTTAGAAACTGGAAACCAGGCTTCTGGATCGTAGCTGGAATGAGTTTAACATGACAATTAAAAAGCAATCCTTGGAAACAGGTGGTTATATTCCAGAGGAGATAACATTAAACCTTTGAAGTCTAAGCTCTTTAGTGGATCCTCTTGAATTTTCATGTAAGACATTTATACCATTTGCAAATAAAAACTGGTCTCTCCTAACTCAATTTTTGTACTTTTTATTTTTCTCCCTTTCATTGTTCTCATACTTGACTAGACTTGACTGCAGATTCATTCCTCAAGCATAATGCTGGCTTTGGATTTATATAAATGATCTCAATTCTATTAAGGTAACATTTACTTTTTAGTTTAAGGATATAATTGAAGCCTTATTCTCCCACCTGACTGAGATCAGCTTTTGGTTGTTTTTTGTTTTTTAACCCTTTCATAATTGAATTATTTTATCTTTGTAATTTTTTGGTGATGTAATGTTTTTTCACTAATGGCATGCATGCTGAATCATTGAATGTTGGTAATTCTTTGTTATGTAAGATGGATTTTTATTATTAAGTGGTACACATATGTACCCATGGACTCCAAAGGTAGCATAGGTGGAATGAGGAAGGGCAAGAATCATTTTATCTCAGCAATTTTACTTTATTGAGTGAAACTTTTGAAAACATGGGGTAACACAAAATGGCACCCTGCACTGGCTGCACATAATTGTTCAAGTCTGCTGCTTCTTAGTGCTGCATTCTCTGCATCGCCTTCTAGTTTCCTTGACAGGTAAATGCCTTCCAGCCTGTCAGAGCCAGACATCATTTGGCACCCCGCTGACTCCTGGCTCGTTCCTGACAAGAAAGAACGGTCTTCCTCTTGTTTTGACTTCTCGGCCCACAGTAAGCTGCTGTCGTGGGAGAATTACTACCGCAATAAACTACTTCTTATTGAAAAACAACTACTTACCGCTCATAAACCAGAAGATAGGTCCTTGATGATTGCACGAAACATACATGCAGTATGTCAAGGATGTTACAATGTGTGTTTACACTGTATTGCTCCTGAAAATAAGTTATTCATTTGAATATTATCTAATCCTGAAAACCAAACTTTCCCAATAACACACAGGAGACCATAAGTATACTTACAAGGTTTATCTCACTGTTCAGAAGCCTGAGAGGCAAAAAATGTAAGTGGTACTTATAGGTACCATTGATCAAAAAGTACATCAAGGACACGTGCATATGCTGTATTGCACCTGAAAATAACTTATTCACTTGAATATTACCTAACCCTGAAAACCGTACCTTCCAAACAATACACAGGAAGCAGTAAATATACTTACAAGCCTTATCTCATCATACAGAAGACCAAAGAGCAAAAGTTTTATACAATCACTCCTCCAGGATGCGCCATCTCATACAATAACCTCTTAAGCCAGCAATATGGCACTGACGAACTTCCTTCTGTTTTATGCAGTTATGCAACTCCCCGCCCCATGCCAACACATACTATAAGTGGTAAAAAAAAAAAAAAGTCCCCAGAAACCCCAGAGGTGAAAAATGTAAGTGGTATCTATATGTACCAGTAGGGGTGAAAGGGTTTAAGAGTAAAAATGGGGATCCAAAAATAATACTACCTTAAATATTTTAACTGGAAACATTCACCAATCTTTTGAAAAAGGGAGAGGGCATTCCCACTGATTGGAGTTTTTTGTTGCATTAAACACACTTAGAATGTTTCTTATACAGATTCCAGTTTCCATTTATTTAAATGGAGTTAGAACTTCAAAATGTTTTGAATCTGCATAAAGAATCATCTTAGACTTTTACATTTCCCCCTTATTTGTTCATGGTGATATTGGGTTTCATTAATAATTGCCACATCTTTATGCAATCTTTGCAGCTTTTAGAGTCAAGGTTAAGTTACCTCCCTTGGGACATTTTTGTCCTGTTTTGTGCTCTGCAACAATTTATTTAGTCCTGTACTGGAATGACAGGGAAGCACACGTTATTCCAAAGCTTGTACTCATTCTGGGACCAGCTGTGGCCTCTTCCTCATCAATGCCTCTGGGTTCCATTCCTCTTGCTGTTATTGTTACGTGCCATCTAGTCAATTCCAATTCATAGCAACCCCATGTGACCGAGTAGAACTGTCCCATAGGGTTTCCTGGTCTGTAATCTTTACGGAAGCAGAGAGCCAGGCCTTTCTCCCGCAGAGCCACTAGGTGAGTTCGAACCGCCAACCTTTCAGTTACCAGCCAAGTACTCCTTTCTAGCCTCCTAAACTGTGAAAAAAAATAAACTGCATTTGTTAAAGCTGCCCACTTGCAGTATTTCTGTTACAGCAGCACTAGGAAACTAAAACAGTCTTATACAAGACAACTGTTTAAGGCACATCCCATCAGATGTTGCTCATGTGGAAACCCAGGAGCCTCCAGAAAAGTTGACTGGACCCCAAGGTTGTACAGTAGGCCCTGCCCCAGGGGTGGATTAACCAGTAAGCAAGGTATGCATGGGCTTACAGTAAGCAAGGTACACACGGGCTTACTTGTGTTTACTGACTAACCTGTAGTGTACAATTTCACCTGTTTTTCATCACATCTGTGGTGAAACTCATGTGAAATTGTGCAATACAGATTAGAAAGTAAGCACAAGTAAGCCCATGCATACCTTGCTTATAGGATAATCCATCCCTGCCCTGCCCCTTGGGATGGCTGGGGTGACACCAGGGCGAAATGACATTGGGCACTCTCACCTATGTACCGCTGGTGGTGCTGGCTCTGGGCGGCTATGGCCTGCTCGGGCGTGCTGTGCAGGCTGCTGTTGGAGCCGCTGTCCCCAAGGCTGTCCGTCTTCTGGGCTGGCTGGTACCTGGGCAGATGTCACCATGAGCTCCAACAGCATGGCCTGGGATGGGCCCAGGGACCAGGGAACTGAGGAGGATTCCCTTCGGGATTTTGTGTGTGTGTGTGTGTGTGTATGGTAAAAATATATACAGGTAGTCCCCAACAAACAACAGGGTTCCGTTCCGATGACTCTGTCATAAGTCAGTTCTGATGTAAGTTGAATATCTTTTTTTTTTTTTTTAGTTTTCATTATTATTGTCTTTTATTTTCAGTATCTTTATAAATCTGATCTTTATTTGTTTTAGGGGGTTGGCATGAGAATGATAACACGAGCAAATTATGCACTGTGACACTGTATGTAGTACATACAACTAACAATAATATGTACCAAAAAAATGGACAGTCTTTAAGTGTGGTTCATCACAACTTGCATATGTCATAAGTTGGGGACTATCTGTATAACAAACATTTGCCATTTTAACCATTTTTAAGTGTACAACTCAGTGACATTATGTTCCCCATGTTGTACAACCATCACTATTGTCTATGTCCAAATGTTATTCATTACCCCAAAGAGAAACTCTGTATCCCTTAACCAATAACTCCCTATTTCCCCATCTCCCCCTCCCCTGGTAACCACTCATCTACCTTTTGTCCCTATGCATTTGACTATTCCAGATGTTTCATGTAAGTGGGATCACAACATCTGTCCTCTTGAGTCTGGGTTCTTTCACTCAGCATGATGCTTTCAAGGTCCATACACGTTGTAACATGTACCAGAACTTCATTTCTCTTTATGGTTGAGTAATAGTTCATTGCGTGTATATAGTACATTTTGTTTATCCATTCACCTGTTGATGGACATTTAGGTTGTCTCTACCTTGTGGCTACTGTGAATAGTGCTGCTATAAACACTGGGGATTAAAAAAATTTTTTTTTCTCGTAGAAGACCAGTGAAATTTTTATGTAGAATCACAAACATCTTTCCATTGTGTGGTCTCAAAGGAAATTCTGAGAATTCCATCTCACCCATAAAGCAGTGCACAGCCTATGCAGACAGAAACCAGGGAAACCTCAGCTGCGGAGGGACTTCCAAAACTGGCATGTCCCTGGAGCCCAGGTACACCCTGGGAGGTTGCTGGGGACTAGGTAGGGGGCAGGGCAGGGCCAGCCAGACCTGGGAGCACTCGCCTCATATGGAAGATGAGGCCAGGAGACACTGAGGGTGGGAGAAAGGCCAGGTCAGACGGGTAACTGCTGGCTCAGGGGTGGAGCCAGGAGCATCCAACCAAGACCACCTCAGACAGTGACTTTTCAAATGTGAATGACAAAAGCCCGTCCCAAGAATGTGTGTTGTTGTTGGTTGGTTGCTGTGGAGTCGCCCCTGATTCATGGCAACCCCAGGCACAACAAACAAAACACTGCTCGGTCCTGTGCCATCTCCATGATAGGCTGTGGATCCAACCATTGTGCTCCAAAGGGTTTTCACTGGCTGATTTTTGGAAGTAGATTGCCCATCGCCAGGCTCTTCTTCCTAGTCTGTCTTGGTCTGGAAGCTCTGCTGAAACCTGTTCAATATCATAGCAACAGGCAAGCCTACAATGACAGATGAGTGGTAGCTGCACATGAGTGCATGGGCTGAGATTCAAACCCTGGTCTCCCAGGGCTAGAATTCTAAACTGAAGTAGCTCCTCCTAAAATAGCACCCTGCCTGGTTTCTAGGGGTGTTTGCCAGGACCAAATTCAACAGCAACAACAACAACAAGAAGCTATGTGGTCCATGTCTGTGGAAACCAAGATACAAAATGGACTATTGGTTCCATTCTTATCTGTTGGCTCCTTGAGAATGTTCTGGAGACTCTTTTCTGTCACCTCTAACTCCCATGATTGATCGTATGGTTAGGAGTCACTGGGATACTTCACAGCAGCTACATTGGGTTTTAGAGTCACACAGACTCACCGAGTGGCCTCTCTGTGCAGCAGACCGGGCACTAGGCATAAACGAGTCACATGGAGATGAGTGTGATGTGGTCCCTGCCCTCAAAGTGCTCACAACCAGAGCAGACTAAACTCTAGAGAGGAAGTCAGGGGGAGAGGGGGGTGCGTGGGGAGAGGGGTACCCTAGAACACAACCAGAGCAGTCTAGACTCTAGAGAGGGAGTCAGGGGGAGAGGGGGGTGGGTGGGAAAAAGGGTGCTCTGGAAGCCTTCCAGGGAGCTGACATTTGAGTGGGGCCTTAAAGCAGGGGTTGGCAAACTACAGCCTGCAGGCCAAATTCGGCCTACCACTTGTGTTTGTAGATAAAGTTTTATTGGCACACAGCCACACTCATTCATGTATCATCTACAGTTGCCTTTGTGCTACCACAGCAGAGTTGAGTAGTTGCAACAGACTGTCAAGTCCAAAAAGCTGAAAATATTGGCTATCTATCTGGTGCTTTACAGGAAAAGTCTGCTGACCCCTGCCTAAAAAGATGAGTAGCTTTGTGATGGACAGAGAAGAATAGTCCAGAAAATGACCAGGCCTTCCCAGCCATTGGATCAAAACGTCAGGAAGCAGCAGTGACTTAAATATTTAAGGGAGCCCTGGTGGCACAGTGGTTAACAGCTCGGCTGCTAACTATAAGAACAGCAGTTCCAATCTACCAGCAGCTCCTTGGAAACCCTATGGGGCAGTTCTACTCTGTCCTATACAGTCACTATGAGTTGGAATTGGCTTGACGGCAGTGGGTTTGATTTGGTTTTTACTCCTGGCTTGGGTTATTTTGAGTACTTTTCTGGGTATAATACTTGGCTTATTTTCATTGTTCTCTCTCTGGATGAGAATGTATCCACTGTGTGGTGGTGAATTTTATGTGTCAACATGGCTCAGCTCTGGTGCCCAGCTGTTTGGGCAAACATTAATCTAGCTGCTGTTATGAAGTAGCTCCATGTGATTAAATCAGTTGGCCTCAAGCAAAGCAGGCTAGCCTCCAAAATGTGGGTAGGTCTCATTCAATCAGCTGAAGGTCTTAAGAGTAAAAAAGGAGTTTCCTTGGGGTGTGTTTAGACTACAAATAGACATTTTGCCAGAACTTTCTCACTCTTCCTGTTACCTGACCTATGAATTTTGGGACACAAGCCTGCAGGAGTCTCCAGCCTGTTGCCTGACCTATGGATTTGGGACTTGCCCCTCCCCCCACCCTAATCATGTAAGCCAATTCCTTGAAGTAAACCCTCCCCCTCTTGAGATATATATATATATGTGTGTGTGTGTGTGTGTGTGTGTGTATATACACACACACATACACGCATACATACATACATATATATATACACACACATACATACAAGCAGCTCTGGTGGCACAGTGGTTAAGAGCTTGGCTGCTAACCAAAAGGTCAGCAGTTCAAATCTACCAGCTGCTCCTTGGAAACCCTGTGGGGCAGTTCTACTCTGTCCTATAGGGTTACTGTGAGTCAGAATCGACTCGATAGCAATGGCTTTTATATATATACATGCCAAACCAGTTGCCATTGACTCAACCCAGACTCATGGCAACCACATGTGTGTCAGAGTAGAACTGTGCTCCATAGGGTTCTCAGTGGCTGATTTTTTGGGAAGTAGATCGCCAGGCCTTTCTTTTGAGGCACCCCTGGGTGGACTCGAACTGCCAACCTTTTGGTTACCAGGCGAGCACTTACCCGCTTGTGCCACTCAGGCCTCTATACATATATATTATGTATGTACATGTGTATACATAGACATACACTCTTTATCTCTTTATAACTCTCTATCACAGCCTAGAAAGCTCTATAGGACAGTTCTACTCTGCCACATGGGGTCACTATGACTTGGAATCGACAGCACACAACAAAAACAGCAACAAGAAGTGTGTGTGTGTATATATATATATAAACACATACACATATATACATATTTTATATACATGTACACACACATATATGTATACACATACACACATACACACTCTCTCTCCTCTCTCATTGGTTCTGTCTCTCTAGAGAACCCTGGCTAGGATGCAGAGACTCCCTCATCTCTTGCTCTCCTCACATCCTATTACGTGGGCATGGGTGTCCTGGCTCCCCTGGGACACTGGAGACCAGATGTGGATGTGTTTTCCCCACAAGAGGGTGGGTGGTCCCTCCTCTGCATAGGTTTAGTGTCTCCTCCCCGCCCCACATTCCCCAAGAAGTGGAGAAGCTCAATTTCTGCTTAAAGGAAGGGGGGAGTCAGGAGCATCAGACCTGGGGTGTCATCCACCGCCCACCTGGTTCCCCGCCTGGGCCACCTCACCTACCTGGGCTTCTGGTGCACAGGCTGCTGCTGCATGGCCATGCACTGCGTGTCCTCCTGCAGCTGGCTCAGCAGGGAGTCTGGCTTCAGGCGGATCCCATAGTAATGACACTTGGAGTTGCCCCTAGAAATCAATGCCCAAGGGTCAGCTCCCTGTATATGCCCTTGCTAGGGCACTTGCCTGGCCTTTCATTTGGAGCTCTCAATGAAATATTCATAAGCTGTTCCTCAGCCAAACAAGTTGAAGAAATTCTGCACCTGACATGCCCCTACTGGAGAGCCTCCTCTTGCATTTTAGTATGATAAAGGCTCTCAGAAGTCCTGCAGTAAGGAAACCCTTTCAATTTTGTTTAACCCAAAAAAAAACCTGTTGCCATCGAGTCGATTCCAACTCATGGTGACCCCGTGTGCATGTCAGAGTTGAACTGTGTGCCACGGGGTTTTCAATGGCTGATTTTTTGGAAGTAGATCACCAGGCCTTACTTCCAAGGCACCTCTGGGTAGACTTGAACCTCCAACCTTTCGGTTAGGAGCCAAGCATGTGAACTGTTTGCACCACCCCAGGACTCAGATAATCAAGAAACTGCTTTAAAAAAACACTCGCTATTATGGAAAATTTCAAATGAAGACAGAACTGAATCACACTCCCATATGCAATCATCAGCTTCTAAAGAAGAGAACAGACCGTGGCTACCACCACAGCCGAAAACGAAAAATCCAAACCCAGTGCCACTGAGTCAATTCTGACTCATAGTGACCCCACGTGTTACAGAGTACAGCTGTGCTCCATAAGGTTTTCTTGGCTGTCATCTTTATAGAAACAGATCATCAGGCCTTTCTTCTGCAGCACCAATGAGTGGGTTCAAACTGCCAACCTTTAGGTTAGTTGTTGTTGTTAGTTGCCATCAAGTTGACCCCAACTCCTGGCAAACCCACGTGGGCAGAGTAGAACTGTGCTCCATAGGGTTTTCAAGGCTGTGACCTTTTGGAAGTAGATCAAAAGGGCCTTCTTCTGAGGCCCTTCTGGGTAGGTTTGAATCACCAACTTTTTGGCTAGTAGTCAAGCTCAAAATATTTGTGCCCAGGGCACGGTTAACTCAGGATGTCTCCAGGCTCATCCAGAGTTGGGTATGGGTTAGAATACCTTACCAGAAGGAAGAAGCCCCACATTCCCCAAGAAGTGGACAAACTCAATTTCTGCTTAAAGGAAGGGGGGAGTCAGGAGCATCAGACCCATGGTGTCATCCACCACCCACCTGGTTCCCAGGCGTCGAGTCCTCAGGCCCGTGAACACGGAACGAATCAGTTTCCCAAAGGAGGCGGCGTTCACAGGATCTAGCTCATGCTCCTGGCAGTGTCGAAGATAGTGGTTGTAGAGAGAACTTTTGGGGAGACTCACACCTTCAGCAGTTTCATAATTATCTAACAGCCACTGGAGCTGGACAGAGAGAGACAGCTTTGCATTTGTCAAAACCCCCCAAAATGCTAAAATGGGTAACATGGATCCCTTAAGAGAACTACAGGTTTTCCCTCTGCTAACAAACAGGATTAGGAAATTTATTTTTTACTATCATGGATTTGTGTTCAAGAGATTTTAAGCACTTAAATTAATGGCCTACTTTAATTCATTCCTTCATTTTTCAGCCTGTTTTCACAATCTTTGGCTTATTTTATAAAAATCTGCATGTGACTGCGACCTATTAGGTTCTATCTTCATAATCATTTGAACACACTCACACACCATGCACAGTTTAAATACCAAACATAATACCAAGTATCTCCTAAACCTTGCCATTGTTGTTGTTAAGTTCTGTCGAGTGGACTTTGACTCATCGTGACCCCATGTGTGTAGAGAACTGTGCTCCAAAGGGTTTTCAAGGCTGTGACCTTTCGGAAGCAGATTGCCAGGCCTGTCCTCCAAGGTACCTATAGGTGGGTTTGAACTACCAACCTTTCAGCTAGTAGTCGAACGCTTAACCATTTGAGACACCCAGGGACCTACCTAAACCTAGAGGAATAGAATTAAATTCTTAGGCCAAGAGGATTAAAGAAAACTAACAGGACCCATCAGTACCACTCTCTGCATGAAAAAAAACCAGTTGCTATGGAGTTGACTCCACCTCATGGAGACCCCATGTGTGTCAGAGTAGAACTGTGCTCCACAGGGTTTTCAGTGGTTGATTGTTCGGAAGCAGATTGTCAGGACTTTCTTCTGAGGTGTCTCTGGGCAGACTCAAACCTTCAACCTTTTGGCTAGCAGCCGAGCCTGTTAACTGTTTGACCCATGAATCAAATACTTAATTTTGAAGTTAGTAAATAATTTTGTCATTGGTGGCTCTGTCCTCTTACCCTTCAGACCCTTGGAGCATATTCCTCTCCCCTAACAACCCCCCACCCAGTCACTCTGAACACACCTGGACTCATTCCTTCCCTCCCTTTGTCTGAGAGGCTGAGGGACTTGTGTAGCTGGGAAGCCTGGTAGGAGAACATGGGTTAATGAGGTCATACTGGAGTAGGGGGGTCCTAAACCTAATCTCTTCTAAGTGGTATCTTATAAAAATGGAAAACAGATAGAGAGACACACATACAGGGGGAAGAGACCATGTGAGGAATGATCTAAAATCCAAGGAACACCAAGGAATGCCCTGTTAAGGAGGGCCCCTCCTCTAGAGCTGATGCCCTGATTCGGACTTCTAGCCTCCCAAACTGTGAGACAATAAACTTCTGTTCTTTCAAGGCACCCACGTGTGGTATTTTTGTTATGGCAGCCCTAGGAAACAGAGACAGAGTCTGAGTCCTGATTTTATGGGTGGCAGGCTGGAAGGAGCACTGGGCTAGGAGTCCTGAGGGATAGGTTCTGAGACCTACCTGTTCCTCTACCCACTTACCAGGGGTGTTGGGCATGGAATAAGCTGACTCACAAGGAAAAAGAAAGGCTTGGAAAAGACAATCTCCTTTGTATCATCCCCTTGTACTATTTAAGCTAAAAGTCGAATTCTCTAGGTAACTATGTTGACATCAAAAGGATACATGATTATCCTGGCAAGAAGTTCTTCCTGCTAAGTTGAAAGTAACTACACAGAAAACTGACACCACACCACCACCACCAGTCAACTCCTACTCATGGTGATCCCATGTGTGTCAGACTAAAACTGCTCCATAGGGTTTTCAATGGCTGATTTTTCAGAAGTAGATCACTAGGCCTTTCTTCTGAGGCACCTCTGAGTGGACTCGAATCTCCAACCTTTCAGTGAGCACCCAAGCATGTTAACCATTTGCACTACTCAGGAACTCCAAGCCGACTGCTGTAGAGTCGACTCCGACTCATGTGTGTCAGAGTAGAACTGTGCTCCATAGGGTTTTCAATGGCTGAGTTTTCAGAAGCGGATCACCAGGTGGGGTCTTAAAGTCCAGACCACTTGTGCCGCACTCTGCCTAGCCTCATAGGGGGAATATACCTGACATCGGCTCCTGACTAGCTAGAGGTGAGCTACATTCTTGCTGTGCCATATTCTAGCAACTTAGCAGCTCCGCAGAGCTCCAATAATTGCTTTGTGTTGATACGATCATACTTTAAACACCCAGCTTTCCATCCATTCATCACACATTTATTGAGAACCAACTTTATGCTGGGCCCTGTTCTAGGTGCCGGGGACACAACAGTGAGGAAGACAAACCAGAATCCTTGCTCTCATGAAGCTTCCATTCTCGTGTGGGAGAGACCCACCATAAATAAGGAAAATGTACAGAATGCGAGACGGTGTTAAGTGCTCTGAGAAAAATTAACCCGGGAATGGGGACAGGACTCCGATGTGGAGGGGACTGAAGGGAGAACCATGATTTTAAATTAGGGGGTCAAGGAAGGCTCACTGAGAAAGTGCTGAGTGGAGAAAGACCTGAAGGAGGTGAGAGAAGGTGAAGGGTGTGTGGTATCTGGGGGAAGAGTAATCTAGGCAGAGGGAATAGCCCATGCAAAGGCCCTGGGGCAGGTCTGTGCCTGGCATGTTGGAGGAAGAGCAAGGAGGCCTATGTGACTGGAGCAGAGTGAGTGAGGGGGAGAGAGGAGGATGGGGGGGCAGGAAGGAAATGGAAATTGACTATGCGAGGGAAGTCAGGAGGGCTTCTTGGAGGAGATAACATTTGAGCAGAGACTTGGAGGATAAGGAGGAGCTGGCCATGGGGAAACCTGGGAGAAGAGCATTCTAAGCAGAGGGAATAGCCCATGCAAAGGCCCTGAGGCAGGACTGTGCCTGGTGAACTGGAGGTATAGCAAGGAGGCCCATGTGGCTGGAGCAGAGTAATGATGGGGAGACAGGAGTAGGTGAGGGCAGGGAGCCATGTGGCTATCTGAGGAACAGCATTGCATGTGGAGGTAACAGCCAGTGCAAAGGCCCTGGGGCAGGGCCATGCCTGGTGAGTTGGAGGAACAGCAAGGAGGCCCATGTGGCTGGAGTGGAGTGAGTAAGGGGGAGAGAGAGGAAGAAAGGGCAGGAGGGGACAAGGCAGGGCATGCAGGGCCCTAAGGCTGTTCTGATAACCATGGCTTCTACTTGGAGTGACTGGGTGCCCTGGTGGATTCTAAGCAGAGAAGTGCTGTGCTCTGACTTGTCACAGGATGCCCTCTGGCGGCTGCCCTGAGAAGAGGCTGACTGCTGGCCCAGGTGGAGGCAGAGGGCGGTAGGTGACCGCGATAACCCATTGGAGATGATGGTACTGGACTGTGGAGGCAGAGAGAAGGGGTCTGATTCTGGACAAAACTTCAAGGTCAAGTCAGAGAGCATGTGCAGATGGACTGAAGGGAGCCAGTGGGAGTAAAAAAATCACCCGCTACTCTCCTGTTATGGGTTGAATTGTCTCCCCTAAAAGATACGTTGAAGTCCTAGCCCTGTACCTGTGAAGGTGACCTTGTTTGGAAATAGGGTCTTTCTTTGAAAATACTATTAGTTAAGTAGGATGGGTTCTAGTCCTAATCCCTTCTGAGTAGGGTCTTACAAAAGAGGAGAACAGACATGTAGACAGTTACACACATGGGGAAGACAGCACGTGGGGAGCCAGATCCATCTACAAGCCAAAGAATGCCAAGAAACTCTTGGGGCTACAGAAGCTGAGAGTAAAGCAAGGGTCTTACCCTACAGCTGACAAACAGGGAGCATGGCCAATGCCCTGAATTTGGACTTCTAGACTTCAGACAATAAATTTCTGTTCTTTAAAGCCACCCACTTTGTGGTTATTTTGTTACGGTAGCCGTAGGACACTAAGATATACCCCCAGACCCGGTTATCTGTTGCTAGAGAGAATCAGATGGCCAACACCAAAGGCAGTCCAAATGAAATAACTAAACATCCTGCTGTCGAGTCAATTTCAACTCACGGCAATCCCACGTGTGTTGAAGTAGAACTGTTTTTCATAGGTTTTTGGAAATATATTGAGGTGCCCCTGTAGGGATTCGAATCACCAACCTTTCGATTAGTAGCCTAGTGCTCAACCATTTGCACCACCAGGGACTCCTCCAAGGACAGTGGGCCAGCATTTACTTCCTGGCCAGTCGACTCCGTCAGCAAAGCCCCGGCCTACGGATTTCAACCTCGCCAGCCAACATAATCACGAGCCAGTTCTTTAAAATAAATCTCTCTCTACCACATGTGTATATCTCAAATGTGTCCTAGACTTGTCCATTAAGAATGTTAGCTTCCAATCTGCTGCATCTCCACTATGACAGGTAAAGAACTGCAGGGGAAGTAAACAAACAAAAGTACACACTTTCCAGAAACATCCAGGGAAGGCAATGACTTCAACAACGCTTCTGTGAAAAGCAGGTCAAATGTGTATTTCAGAGGGAGCAGATGAACTGATTCCCTGGAGCTGAGGTCAAGCATGAGAGGGTTACTGCTTCTCTTGTTGCCTCTTGTACGATCATTGCTCTGCTTTTTCTCATGCGCTAAACCTCCTAGAAGCTAAAGGGGATATAAGTGTCACCTTTAAGAAAGATCTACCGGAAGGCTGGTGTTAGGGACTGAATTGTGTCCCCCCAAAATATGTGTTGGAGACCTAACCCCTGTGCCTGTGGATGTAATGTAATGCAATGTAATCGCCTTCCATAATGCAATCTAATGTAATGTAATCAATCGAGACCACACCAGTGTAGTTGTTGTTAGCTGCTGTCAAGTCAATTCTAACTCATGGTGACCCCATCCGTGCAAAGTAGAACTGTTCAGTAGGGTTTTCAAGGCTGTGACCTTTAGGAAGCAGATCACCAGGCCTATCTTCTGAGGTGCCTCTGGGTGGGTTCAAACTGCCAACCTTTCAGCTAGTAGTTGAGTGCTTAACCATTTGTGCCACCCAATGTAGGGTAGATCCTAAACCTAATTACTTCTGAGTTTTATGTAAAGATCTGCATAGACACAGAGACACACACAGGGGGAAGACAGCTATCTGATG